TTTCAAATGTCTGGCTCCGCCTCTGCTTATGGGTAAGTTAAACATCAGTTACAATTACCAAGCAACCACGTCATCACTGTGTAATGATAAAGCATAAGTGAGTTCCTCACACCACACTCGAGCTGTCAAAAAAAATACCGATACCGGAAATGCAGTTTTAAAACACACGCTGTGAAGTGACACACGTTTTTCCTGCTTTTCTCTGTCATAAAACCACCATGAAGAAGCACAAGCCCACCTTGAATAAGCAGCAAGTAGCTCTTCTACTATAAAAATCTCCGTGCCACCGTGACAGTTTGAGGAAGAACTCTGGATTAGGTGCGCTCCTTCTCCTTCTTCTTCCTGTTTAACGGCGGTTGGCAAACAACTTAAAGGAGCGTTACCGCCTCTTACTGTTCCGGAGTATGTGTCAGACAGCGAGCTTACATTGCGCACGCGTGGAAGCAATCCAAATAAAAGCGGAACAACAACAGAGGGCGCTAAAGTGCCAAAGGAAAAACTATTTTATTTATTTTTTAATTGTTAATTAAACAAATGTAACAAGTACAACAAATACAGCCTCTAGGCTGTATTTAAAGACAAATAATGAAAATAAAATAGACATAAGTAATTAAAGAAATCAACATTTATGAATGCCTTTTTCTTACCATTTTTTGCACAAAGATTGATTTGTTTCTAACTTCTATGTAACGATAGTTCCACAGGGGAGTATTACGTGGGCTATAATTATGTTTGTATATTAATTTCCAGTATAATGAAACTTGTAAATAAAAGATTAATTTCGCCTAGATCTGAAAATATTTTGTTTGGAAAAAATAAAACCATAGGCTATTTTGATTTCTTAAAAATGACCTGAGCCAGTTTATTTTTAGGGTGCCATTTAAACTGTCAAATTCAATAGCTTGCAATCCTCCATCTTCAAATTGTTTGACTCAATTACCTTGCCTAATATAGAGGGGTTTTTTTTGCTTCCATATAAAATCAAAGTTTAGCTGGTTATTAATAGATTTGATTGCTGATTTAGGTACACCTAATGTATATGCAGAGTATATTAGCCTGGAAATACTTTCCATCTTGGTGAGAAATATTCTACCCAGAATCAATAAGTCTGTCTGTGCCCAGTTACTTCAATGAGTTCTACAATTTTGCATTTTCTTTCAAATATTAAGGTTTTCTAACTCAGTTCTGTTTTAAGTTATATACATACCAAATATTTGACATTGGATTTTTTTACAGGGATATTGGAAGTGTTAGATATAGTACAGTCTTTTAAAGGTAAGATCTCACATTTGTCTGAGTTCAGTTTTAGGCCTGAAGCTTTTGAGAAATTTTCAATGATTTGTAGAATTTTGGGGATTTCATTTAAGAAAATGGCGGTGTCATCGGCTAACTGGCTGATAGACAGTGCCGTAGCTCCGCAAACGCACATAACGCACACTGCGTAGGGCACCAAATGGCCGGTAGGGCACCAAAAAAATCAGGGTCGTAAAAAAAAAAAAGTAAACCATATTAATACTATAAATATCATATGCATTAATATGGTTAAACAATACAAAAGCAACATAAAACAATTTTCCTGAGAAAAGGGGTGAATCTGCTTTGTGCCCTGTCTCCAGTCTCCTCCTGGTGCCCCCCCCCCCACTCCCAGTGGTCTGTTCTATAATTGGTAAACACCTGTTTGAACATGGCCTCGAAA